TGTATGTATGTATGTATGTATGTATGTATGTATGTATGTACGTACGTACGTATGTACGTATATACGTATGTACGTATGTATGTATGTGTATGTACGATGTATGTATGTGCTCTATGGGTGACAACCGGCGTCTGTGGTGCAGAGGTGTGGCGCTTTGCAGTCTCACACAGGAGATCCGAGGTTGATTCTCGAGTGCGGTGAATTTTTATCATCTCTGTCTTTCTGCTGGGATGCTGTATCCCTCTCAGCCCGGGTTGGCCCTGATATGCAGGGTTGGAAGCCCGCCTCCTAATAGATCTAAATTGTGTCGATATGGACGTAAAATCAATTATATAAGAAATATGGCTGACATACGTTCCTGCTGTAGGCACTGCATGTTTATACTGACAATATGTGGGTAAGTTGGAATGTGTGCATACGAGTTTGAAAGAAAATTCTCTTACGTGTTGGTTTTGACCGTCAGAGTCGTGCGCTGCGGTCTAAAAATTTACATAAGGACTACAAACTCGACACAACATTTAGAGAAGCATGCAGACTCCTAGAAATCGCACTGACACTTTTATGTCGACCCACAAAGACATCATTGACAGCATCCCCAACTTCGTCAACAGAATGATGGACGCCTTTGCTGCAGCAAAAGAACGAAGGGTAGACTTCTTCTTCAAACAGATTTTCTCTAAACAGGTAGGATGAAGAGTACATGATCTCAATTACCATGCCCTTGACTATCTTAAACCTGCTTTAAGTTATTTGTGCATGCCCACTTTTTAGACCCATAAACCGCCCTTGTTGACCGTGGTGTTAAAATGTGAAAATGTGTAGCTAGGTTCTGTGGCTAGAACATATCCACGCACATCATCACACTACCGCTATTCCATCAGGTATGCATCAGTTTGGTATTCTCTAATTCTTTTGGTCTACGAACTCTCGTGGGGCCATCAATTTGATTCGAGCAAAACAAACGTGTACGAACGTTGTGTATCGTTCTGTCGCTGATCACTCTTCCAGTGTCAGTATTTGTTTTGGTGAGTATTTTGCTGAGCTCACAATTGCATAAGGTAATAGGAGCGCGCGCGACACATCAAACATTTTCAGTTTGTGAGGAACTTTGAATTTTGCCCGGGTGGCGGTCGAAGCCTACTTTTATCGACTTTTAGTACCAACAAACGGATCTTTAACAGGCTCAAGTTACACACGGAGTCTCCGAAATTTTGCTCCCTTATCCAAGAAAGCTAGGCTACCATAAGATCGGGGGTGTGGCGGAAAGACAGCAGTAAAAAGGAGCCAAGGTGTACCGTAGAAAGCTGCAGAAAGAGGCGGGAGCTCAGAGAAGGGGGCAATGGGGAAGGGGGGGGGGGCAGTAAGTGGAGATGAAAGCAGACGACAGGATGTGGTTAAAGAGCAGGAAAGGAAGTGAACTGAGAAAATTTTGGAGAAGAAAAATTACCGTCGCTGTCAGGTTTCGAACCCGGGACCTATTGAATGAGAGGCGAACACCGTAACCTCAGACCCACGAGAGCTCATAGAGCCAGTATTAAATCGACGTATTTGGCGTGTTGTTGCGAAGAAAAAAACAAACAATCTTGAAAGTGCTAAAGCAGTATCTGACTGTCTTTTTGGGCAGTTGTGATCAATTGTCTTCCTGTCAGGTGTAACTCAAGTGATTTGGAACGCGTCTCTCAGGTTATTGGGGGTAGGGTGGGGGAGGGTGGATGAACTTCCACGGCACTTTACGCTCCGATAGTCCAGCCTGGAGCATTCCGATCACTTTCGTGCTCTCTTCGAGGCTTAATCTTGGCATCTTGTCTAGCAATTTAAGACAATAAAAGTAAAACAGCTGGAGCGGGTGTGTAACTTGGTTTTTTTCGGTTCCAAAATAACTATAGCTTTTTCACATTCGTCTGAACGCGCTTAAAGCAAGATAAAAATGAAATCGCTCTATTTAATCTTCTCGGATCTTTGCATACGAGTCTAAAAGTTGGATGACCAACATAATCTGACTGCCCATTAATAAAGGTCACTACAAACAAGGTTCCGACACTTTTTAAATAACAATCTGAGCCTAAAGGGGATTTGCAGCATATACCTAAAACATTTAAAAGTTGACATATTTTCCTCAACACCACACTTTAATGTACTCCTAAAAACACACTCAAGAGACGGGGTGAGTAATTTTCGAGACTCATGTGGAGCACATGGAGACGTAAACAGTGATGGGATGAAATAGACAAGCTTACACTGAAATGTGAGGACAGGGCAGTTTCGCTGTCTCAAAATGAGCAATTTGTAGGCAAGGGTACTGTAGGTCATTTACTTTGGTGATCAGGTATATGCACTCACACTCACAGGGAGGTTTTTAATACGAAGCGCAAAGAAAAAAAAAATATTGCGGGATCAAGATTTTTGGAAAACATATTTTTGTTTGGTCACTGGCCTGCAGAAGTGCCGGGCAAAGTTTTGAGAGCAATGGGGAATAAATATATGAGCTATAGTTTTTTACGCGGAACAGACAAAAGTAAACAAGCTACAATGTATTGATCTGAACACACTATAGACAATTTAAAAAATTCGACGATATTTTAGGCCTACAATTGGTCGGTTTTAAGCACAAGGGGGCTATCTCGAAAAATGCTGTTTTGAGAAAATAGAAGGTTGTGGCGACGAGATCTAACCTTAAGACCAAATTGTTGAGGTGTGTGGT